TGTGAACGTTTATTCCTGATGATGACAATGAACATTGTCCAAATATTTTAACAGGTGTTATACTTCCTGCATAATACCTTTATTGAAATGTTCTTGATATATAACAAATGTGATTTGATTTTATAATTCGTTGAATGAAAATTCATTTTGTTCAATTTGTCAATATTTATTTAAATATGTGGACCATTTTATTAAAGCTCCACTCACTTGGCTGATAAATCAGTGCTTAGATACAGGGTGTTTTCCGAAGATCTTGAAAACAGGACTAATCAAACCACTATATAAAAGCGGCAAAAAAACTGAAATGATTTATAGACCTCTATCACCGATATCTAATATTTCAAAAATAATAGAGAAAATACTGAAAACGAGAATACTTAGTTTTCTAAATAGACATGAAGCTATTTCAACAAATCAGTATGGGTTCAGGGAAGGAAGGTCAACAGAAGATGCAATATATGCCCTCTCATCCAGTATTTATAAAGCTCTTGACAAAAAAACAACCATTTTATGCATATTTGTCGACCTATCAAAAGCATTCGATACTGTTTGTCACCAAAAATTATTAGGAAAATTAAAATTGTACGGATTGAGAGGAAATATTTACAACATATTGGAAAGCTATTTATCGGGAAGGAAACAGCGCGTGAATATTGATGGAGTAAATAGTCAGTACCGAACAGTTTCTTATGGGGTTCCGCAAGGGACCGTATTAGGACCACTGCTATTCACTATTTACATCAATAGTTTATTGAATCTTGAAATTGGAGGAAAAATCTTGAGCTTTGCCGACGACACAGCCATACTCTATGAATCAAATACATGGCAGGAACGAAAACAACTTGTAGAAACTGACTTTTGCAAAATAGAGAAATGGTTCCGATTCAATAAATTAACGTTAAACTTCATCAAAACTAAATATCTACCATTCTCCTCATATTCCAGTGGATTACCAAATATGGGACCAATAAAAATTGGGAACACATTCGAAATTCCTGAAGCAGAATCAATAAAATATCTCGGTATTATGATAGATCGACATCTCAGGTGGGACCTACAAATCAAATATATTATTAATAAATTGAGAGGACTACTTCACAGATTCAAATACTTGAGAGATTTTTTGGGACCACAACAGCTGAGAACATTATATTTTGCATTGGTCGAGTCGCAATTACAATATGGAATAGTGGGATGGGGTGGAGTAAGTGACTGCTATTTAGAAAATCTCAATGTAATACAAAAACATTTAATCAAAATAATCTTTCGAAAGGCACGTACTCACCCAAGTAATGATCTTCTGAAAAATGTAAAAAAAGGAAACATTGTTCTAGAACCGAAAAATCATGAGCATAATACTAGAAATAAAAATAACGTATTACCTCGCAGTGAAAAAACTATAGGTCAGAGAAATTCCACTTACCTCGGACCTAGGTTAATTAGCTTATTACCAACGTCTATTCACAGAATACAATCACCATTCAGATTCAAATATGAGGTGAAAACCTGGATTATGGATACCGAAAGGTCTGTTTTTCATGATTTCGTTGATCAAAGATTCAAATGAAAAAAGAAAGCCATTATTATAAAAGTCATTATATACTCTTCAAGTAGTTAGGTACCTACTAACATTTTTGTAAATTCAATGTAGTCATGTGTTTTTTAAGTAACAATTTCATTTTTGTAATGTTATGTGTATATTTAAATTCACGTATTGTATTGTTTATAGTCCAAACATTGTTCTTATGATTATTCATTCATTCATTTTATTAACATATACATTGGGTTGCGCACAAGTGGCATTGCAGCTGTTAGTTGAAATGCACACTTCTGTAGCTTAATTGTGTTAATTTATATATCATACAGATGTTTGTTCTACTTCAAATCACGTACAAGTAGTATGGTAGCTCACAGCTATAGGTGTATAATGGCATTTCTGGTTTTCCGAATTCTGTGAACATTCCACTCCAAAGAGATCTGATCAAGATCGTCCTGAAAGAAATAGAGCGAAATAATGTGAAAATTCTAATAGAGTATAGTTAGGGTTTAGCAAGAAGTAAATGATTATTGCACACATCTGATACGAAAGATATATTTTTTATCTATTCCGCGTAATGTTACTTTGGTGATCGATACCTAATTTTCTTGAAGAGGCGCAGCTAAGCTAAAAAAATAGTCGAGATCACTACGTATTTCGGGCAATAGTTGCATTCAAAACTTTTTCTGCAAACGCCGTGAACTGGCTGCACCATTAATGTTAACATTGTGAATAATATTAAAATTAGGTAACAATTTGAAAAGTGTTGAAAATCCATAATAATTATTGTTGAACATTTTGGAAATACGTTATTCCTTGGATTTTTGCTTGATTGGGAACCATGAGCGTTAAAATACAAAAATCTACTATTTTTTACATGCGGTTCGCGAAATATGTATTTTGTGCAATATTTCGCACACATTGTCGTGATAACGTGGGAAAATGAAAAAAAAATGGTCACCTCGCATATTGTTATCAATAATCATTTATTATACAAGGGTAAAAATATGAGAATTCAGCTCGAGGTTGGGTTGTCTCCCGACGCGAAGTAGAGATATACAAAAAACCGAGAGCGGAACTCTAATATTTTTCCCGTGTATAATACACTTTTTTTTTTCTTTGTAAGGATATACAACAATTTAATATTGAGGAAACATATTATAACAATAAATTATAGTTAAAGTACATTATCGATGTCAAAGTTTTGTAGTGGAAGGCTGTGATAGCAACGATTAGACCCTAAGGAAACCTATGGGTTCGTATATCCGGAAAGAAGTATTAGCTTTTTTCCGGAGAAAAAAGTTATCAATACAAAGTGATATTCTAGTTTTCATGATCACTAGAAGTAATTTATTGAAATTGATCATACACGTAAAGTACAATAGACTTCTAGGTGCATTCGAATGTCTGAAAACAGTGAAAAGTACTAACAGCATAAATAGTGATAGAGGGCCATTTCATTCACCTCCTTCCAGTTTTCAGTTTCTGATTACTAAATGGAGCTTTATTGTGGTTAAATTATTAAATTATCAGCATCAACATGTACTTGGTCCATTGCTTCGATTTCTCCGACTTACCTGTATTAAGGACATGAAACAGAATTGTTTCAAGGATTTGTTCAAGAAAGAAACATCAAAATCATTATTTTCCTTCAGCATTTGAAATATATTCATCCAATACTGTGCACCATGTTCACGTAATATGGCCACCATGATTCAATGCGCTGATTATGCATACTTTTTCCATGAAGGAAAGATAGTCTATTTGTGGAAATAGTGTTGAACAATTCGTGTAATATCTCTTGTAATTTTTCTATTGTCCCATTTTCCCCCATTTTCAGTAACCATATCGCATCTTACTGTCGCAGGGCAACCTCCAACTGACTTTATTGCATTTAGAAAATGCCCACCAATTACCTGGAAAATATTTGAGATTATTCTATTTCTGAATACAAAATATGAGAATATTAGTTTTATTAGTTTATAAAGTTTATAAACGTCATGATCGGAAAGGTTAGTTATGATGAAAGTGATTTCCATAAAAATCAGTCCTAATGACATGAAATAACTGGTCAAAGTAGCAGATTTTGATGAATTATTTCATATCATCAGGAACGATTTTTGTTGAAATAAATTCCACCATACAGGGTGTAAATTTGAGAACTTGCAATGCGAATATCTCGCGAAATAAGAAATGCAAATGCTAAAGTGTTAGGAAGAACTAGAACCACCATATTTCAGTGAAGGGATGAGTCACCCTGTCAGCGCGACACACCGCAACTTTGAAATATCAAATGACACTACCTCTTTTGTGATATCTCAAATGAACGGTCTCAGTCAGTAAGTATTCACCTGTATAAGACTTTTTTTCCACCCACTACAGGGTGTAACATTTCAGTACAAAATCGTCCAAGGAGGACAATAACTCCAAGAGAGCACGGATATTAGATACTTTCGACTACTTGCGTTTGGAAATGAATGCTGAATCTATGGATAATTCTGCGTATAAACTCATATGTAGCAAACTAGATTCAAGCTACAAAAATATAGGAACACGCAAACAAATAGACTATTATTATAAAAAGTACTTCAGAAACCGTAATGACAAGAAATGTGAATGCAGAACGGATGTACAACTAGAAGAGCAAATCGATCGTTGTATGGAAGAATTTCCAATAGAACAGCTTGAATTTGTCTGTGAAGAAAATGACATTTCTAAACCATGTAAGGGAAACAATAATATCATAACTGTTGAAGACACACTTCCTCAGTTGATGGAACATACCGATTTTCAACAAATGTCACGAGAAGAAAATGATATATGTGCAATGGTTTGTTCAACACCATACAAAGTGGATGAAAAATCCTCAGATATGAGCGTAAGTCATATTGGCATGGAAACTGTCCAGAAAAATGATGTGACACCTGAAAACTTCGACATTCGATTTAAAGAATTTAACTACAGATTCTGATTATGAAGTACTTCCTCGAAATGCTAAGAATGTAGAGAATCTACCCCTGACAAGCTTCAAAGATTGTAAAATCATTGAAGGCACCTTCAATATAGATGAAACTAGGGCAAGTATGATAATCAAGAACGGAAAACTATAGTGGATAAATACTACCCTTATTACTTCAGAAACAGAATTTCCAAATACGTAAATAATGTTTGCAACATTGTGATGAAATTCAGAAAAAATAACAAATTTGTGATGAAAATTTACGCTAAATGTAAAAATAATAATTATAACTGTAAAAAATTTGTGATTATAATCAGAAATCTCCATGTTACTGTATACTCATCTTCATTGAACTTTTGTCATCCAGTACCAGTAACATCTTATGTGAGAGGAGTAGAGCGTGAGTTGGCAAAAAAGAATATTCTTCACAAGAAACCATCAGAGTACAAGAGGAAGACCATGATCCATGCAAATGAGACACTGATAAAATCTGGAAATTTACAGGCAATCAAATCAGACCCAACAGTAAGAAAAATAAAATCTGAGGCAATGGCTCAGTGGGACAAAGATTCAAATGACTTGATAAATTTGATCAGAATGCAAATGGACCATGAAGAGTACATACAGGAAGTTTGTATCCCATTCAATGTCAAAATTTACAGTCAGGAACAATTTCAAGTAATCGATAAAAGTAGAGTCGATAATGACTTGCCTATACTATACTTCGATGCTACAGGATCAATTGTAAAGAAACCCGAGGGAGTTAAAAAGAGAATTTATCTTTATACAGCTGTTATACCTACATATCCGAGAAGGATATTCCCAGTATTTGAAATGATATCTGCCACACATTTTGCCAAGACAATCTACAAAATTTTCAATGACTTCAGATGTTTGTGTGAAGAAAATAACAAATGGCCAACATTTGGAGCAATTGTCACAGACTCCAGCTTTCCAAATTTACACGCAGTGAGTAAATCGTGTAACAGATGCACATTACTGGAACATATTGCCAGATGTTATTCAATAGTGAAGGGTGAAATTATTTTTACAGAATCGTTAGTCACTATCCACCTATGCTGTGCACACTTGATAAAAATTTTCAGTAAAGATATAGAAGAAAAATTTGCAGACAGAAGTGACGCAAATTTCTTGAAAGATGCCATGGCACTAGCAATCAATACACAAACTCTGGCACAACTAGAAGACTGGTTCATCAACATGGCCGTAATTTTATTGAGTCAATTCGCAACGGAAAGAGTTTATAGAAGTCAAAAATGTATATCAAATGGTATCGAAGATATGAATGAAGGCTCTGTTAAGGAAGCCAATACCCTGAAAAGTGGAAATATATATAATGAAGACGATACTGAGAAATGAGTCCTTTTACAAACATTTCTCCACCATTTCTCCACCTTACTCTCGGAAATTGACCTAACTGATACTTCTGATCGAGAAAATGAATATTATAATAAAGAATTTTTCGATATAATATTGCAGAAGTACATTCCTTTCGCTTCACTCTGGACAGGAATGATGCTTATTTATAGAGGAACATCATCAAGAGTGAGTAACACTTACGTGGAAAATTATTTTGGTCACTTGAAGAAGAATATATTGCGTGGAGAAAAAAATCTAAAATGTTCCAGATTTTTGCGAAAGAGCAGAGAGAATGTTCTTGCATTGCACAAAGAATTCATTTTGGGTATACCAAAAACAAAATTAGCTAGAGTAGCGAAGGATAAGGACTTGAATAAGGAACATTTCTCCGAAGAAACATGGAATAAAAGAGTTAAAACTATGACTACACATTTCAGAGGTGCATACCTTAAAAATGTTACCTTTTCCGAATCAGTTATACGAGGAGAAAATGACAGAAATGATTCTACAGATATAACAAATTGCGATAACTGCATCTACTGTGGACTAGGTATCTTGGATACTACTGTGGAATGGGCAGCATGCAGTAAATGTGAGAGATGGTAACATCAAAATTGCGAGTCTTCTGAACTGAATAAAACATACACCGGACTATTCATCTGCAAGTTCTGTTCGAACTCGAATGAATTTGAAAACGTTCATCTAGAAACGAAGTTCACTCAGTTTCTACAGAAGCTAGATGAAGAAAGTACACACCGAGATTATATTCAAGAGATGACAAAGGAACAACGGAAGTGCGCTATGTGGTATTCAGAAAAAAAACTGCGATTGACAGCTTCTAATTTTGGAATTGTATGCAAAGCAACATCATCTAAGGTCAAGCAACGTATTTTGAGAGATCTCGACAAAAATATATGCACTCCTGCAATGAAGCATGGAATAGAGAATGAAGAAAAGGCAATTGCAGAATATATAAAGATGACACAAAATCGCTATAAGAAAAGTGGTCTAGTTATCCACAAAACATCTTCATTTTTGGCGGGATCTCCAGACGGATTGATTAACGAAGATGGAATAATCGAAATCAAATGTCCATATAAGATTCGGAATGGAGAGCTCATCAGACCACGGGACCTGGCATACCTGGACGATGATGGAAACCTCAAAACAAATAGTACCTACTCATTACTACCAAATCAAAGGAATGAAAATTGAGCACATTGAAAGAAATTGCCTGTTTTTCAAAGAGATGTTTCCAAAACTCAAAGAGTTTTACTACAAATATCAGATGCCAGCGCTGGTGGAAGAAATAACAGCTGAAGAAACTCAGAAAGAGTTGATTTTTCTTGAAAATGGTTTAGTCAATGATTTGACATACTATAAATCAGCAGTAGGTGATAGGGACTACACAATAAGTGTATATAAGGACGTGAAATTGCCAATTCGAGAACTAAAAGCTTCAGACTACCACTCCCTCGATGGAAATAATTGGGTGACAAATTTTGTCTTGGACATTGTTCTCAATTTAATTGACGAAACAAGAGCATTTCAAATAATACCAGAGGAAACAGCTTCATATATATTCAATGAATCATCAGATAATTCCACAGAATATTTCTTGCAGAAAGTACGGATTATCAGAGATAATAATAATAATGATAATAATAATAATGGTCTTCATTCATCAATTACAAATTACAAACTACAAATTGCATCAAGATTCAGAGTGTTTGATAATGCATTGATGAAGGGCGAAGTTCAGCCTAGGCTGTTTTTCAACTTAACCCCTTAAAGATCGCATTGCGATGGCAGTTCGAATCAATGGAAACCACCACTGTCTGGTAATTATTGACTATGAGTCGAGAAGGTTCAGTTTTATTGATCCATTTACCACTAGTGAAGCCAAAGCCACAGTTTATTTGAAGAAATATAGAAAATTTATGAGGGCCTATAATAAATACTCTGAAAACGATTCTAGGGACGCCGATAACCTACAGATTTACATTTACGGCCATTACAAACAGAAAGATTCTCACAACTGTGGACCAATAATCTTGGATTTGTTCCATAAAATAATTCACAAGGAAGATATGCATCAAGAACCAGACTTCCACCCTTATAGGATGAAGCTGCAACGTTTGCTGTTAGAAAAGTCTGATAACATTAATAATCTGTGTCTCATTTGCTCCGCAAGCTTCGAACAAGCAGCATCAGTACAATGTAAATATTGCAGAAGATATATCCATGAAAAATGTGTTACTGATTATCAAAACAGGTCATTTATACAAAATAATATCTGTGATTTATGCAAGCAGTATTAATGGCCACTCACTTATCATCAGTTAAAATGACTGAACTTGCAAATGGATTACATATTATGAGGTTAGGGTAAGGCTGTGAGGGGAGGTTGGAGGCCTTTATGTATAAAAGCCCGAAACACGTGTCTACGGTTAACTATTTATGAGGGCATCGAATATTATATACATATATACGCACGATCGAGAGAGGATTGCTTCAAGATGACTGTTTACACTAAAGGAACTCGGGATTTAAATATATACCAATATATGTGAGGTTAGAGTAAGGCTGTGAGGGGAGGTTGGAGGCCTTTATATGCCAAGAGGATTATTGAACTAATGAATGATTTCAGTTAAGGTCAAGGTGGAGAAGCCGTTGCGGATTGATGATAGAATGAAGAAAGATTTGATCCTTGTGGAATCCTACCGGCGAACCGCCCACTGAAAAAAGGGTAACGCGCCACTGCAATACCTCTTGGGTGGTGTGGAAATTTGCGAAATCTCATGATTATGTAAGCACAGATTGGAATTTTTGATTCTGCTTTATTTTTCAAGTATATACTTTTTGTAAAATGTGAGATATGATGTATATATTCGAGTAATATAAACCTTCATTATCACAGCAGTTTTTCATTTGAACCCTTGAAAAATTTATTTATGTGTAGGGTTGACACACTTAAAAAAATGTTTATGCTGTGTAGGGTTGATTGAATATTTTTTTTCGATAGGGGTTGCGGGGATTATTTCGATAGGGAAATCGTTCCTTAGGTCTGTTTGAATGATTCCTACCATATGGCATCGCAGCAGTTTTTCATTTACACACTTAAAAATTTTTTTCATTTGTAGGGTTGAATATGATATATTATTTTTTTTCGATAGGCGTTGCGGGGAGTTTTTCGATAGGCAAATCGTTCCTTAGGTCTGTTCGAATGATTCCTACTATATGTCATTGCAGCAGTTTTTCATTTACACACTAAAAAAATTTTTTTTATCTGTAGGGTTGAATATGATATTTTTTTTTTTTCGATAGGGGTTCGGGAAGTTTTTCGATAGGCAAATCGTTCCTTAGGTCTGTTTGAATGATTCCTACCATATGGCATCGCAGCAGTTTTTCATTTACACACTAAAAAAAATTTTTTATCTGTAGGGTTGAATATGATATATTTTTTTTTCGATAGGGGTTGCGGGAAGTTTTTCGATAGGCAAATCATTCCTTAGGTCTGTTTGAATGATTCCTACCATATGGCATCGCAGCAGTTTTTCATTTACACACTAAAAAAAATTTTTTATCTGTAGGGTTGAATATGATATATTTTTTTTCGATAGGGGTTGCGGGTAGTTCGATAGGCAAATCGTTCCTTGGGTCTGTTTGAATGATTTCAACCATATGTCATCGCAGCAGTTTCTCATTTACACACTAAAAAATTTTTTTCATGCAGTGGGTTGAATATGATATATTTTTTTTCGATAGGGGTTGCGCGGATTTTTCCGATAGGCCAATCGTTCCTTAGGTCTGTTTGAATGATTCCTACCATATGTCATCGCATCAGTTTCTCGTTCACACAGTAAAAAAAATTTTTATCTGTAGGGTTGAATATGATATATTTTTTTTCGATAGGGGTTGCGGGGAGTTTTTCGATGGGCAAATCGTTCCTCAGGTATGTTCGAATGATTCCTACCAAATCGTTCTTTGGGTCTGTTTGAATGATTCCTACCATATGTCATCGCAGCAGTTTTTCATTTATACACTAAAAAAAAAATTTAATTTGTAGGGTTGAATATGATATATTTTTTTCGATAGGGGTTGCGGGGAGTTTTTCGATAGTCTAATCGTTCCTCAAATCTGTTTGAATGATCCCTACCATATGGCATCGCAGCAGTTTTTCATTTACACACTAAAAAAAGTTTTTTATCTGTAGGGTTGAATATAATTTATTTTTTTTCGATGGGGGTTGCGGGGAGTTTTTCGATAGGTAAATCGTTCCTTAGGTCTGTTTGAATGATTCCTACCATATGGAATCGCAGCAGTTTTTCATTTACACACTTAAAAAAAAATTTATCTGTAGGGTTGAATATGATTTTTTTTTTTCGATAGGGGTTGCGGGGAGTTTTTCGATAGGCAAATCGTTCCTTAGGTCTGTTTGAATGATTCCTACCATATGGCATCGCAGCAGTTTTTCATTCACACACTGAAAAATTTTTTTTATCTGTAGGGTTGAATATGAAATTTTTTTTTTTCGATAGGGGTTGCGGGGAGTTTTCCGATAGGCAAATCATTCCTTAGGTCTGTTTGAATGATTCCCACCATATGGCATCGCAGCAGTTTTTTATTTACACACTAAAAACAATTTTTTATGTGTAGGTTTGAATATGATATATTTTTTTTTTTTCGATAGGGGATACAGGTAGTTTTTCGATTGGCAAATCGTTCCTTAGGTCTGTTTGAATGATTCCTACCATATGGCATCGCAGCAGTTTTTCATTTACACACTAAAAAAAAATTTTATCTGTAGGGTTGAATATGATATATTTTTTCGATGGGGGTTGCGGGGAGTTTATCGATAGGCAAATTGTTCCATGGGTCTGTTTGAATAATTCCTACCATATGTCATCGCAGCAGTTTCTCATTTACACACTAAAAATTTTTTTTCATGCAGGGGGTTGAATATGATATATTTTTTTTCGATAGGGGTTGCGGGAATT